GTCGTCGTGCGGAGAGTGTGGTCAGGGACGCGAGGCCGGCTGGACCACTGCAACGCGACACGTGATGCTTTGCTGCGTGTCTCCCTGCGATCCTCCCGCGCCCCCGGAGCCCTCTGTGCCCCCACCCTGAGCTCCCGCCCGCTGTTCACCCTGGTGGCCAGGTCATCACCCGCGAGATCGACGGCGTGGAGTGCGAGCCCTACGAGGAGGCCATTGTCGAGGTGAGACCACGGCAATCGGGCAGTAGCGGCACGGTGCGGCGCCGTTGAACCTGGGTCTTGAGCGGCCGGGGACGGGGTAGAGATGACAGGTGCTCAGCGCTGTGGTGCTTCTGGCAGCGTGTTCATCACACACACCGTGTTTCATTGCCCACCCCCTCGCGCCGCAGGTCCCCGAGATGTACGTGGGCAGCGTGGTGGAGCTCTTCGCGCAGCGCAAGGGCGAGATGGTCGACATGCAGCCCTCGCTGGAGGTGGGTGGGGGATGGCTGGGGCCCTGAGGGGCTGCTGCGCAGCAGGTGCTTGCAGGCGCCCGTCTCTTGCCTGGATAGGTCTGAGGGCAGCGTGCCTCATTCACGAACGCTCCTTCTCCCGAGCACGCTGTCGACCCTGCTGGCCTCCCACCTCCCTCATCGCCCTCTTACAGGCCACCACGCGTGTGACATTCAAGATCGCCACCCGCGGTCTGCTGGGGCTGAAGAACGCGCTGCTGACTGCCACGCGCGGCACGGGGCTGGTCAACACCATCTTTGACGAGTACCGCCGCCGCGCCGGCGACATCAGCATGCGCGACCAGGGCAGCCTCGTCGCCTTTGAGACTGGCCAGGTGGGGTGGGTGGCGATGTCGAGGGCTGCGTTCACGTGTCCTGTTGGGCGAGACAATGGATTGCATCGCACACGGGGCCGCTTCGGTGCTTGCCTGTGTATGTAAGGTTTGTACATTCAGCCCTAGCTGCCCACCCCCTGTGTGACGCCCCCCCAACAGGTAACGGCGTATGCGATCGAGAGCGCCCAGGAGCGCGGGCAGCTGTTTGTGAAGCCTGGCGACCAGGTGTACCAGGGCCAGGTAGTGGGTGTGTACAGCAAGGCGGGGGACCTCAAGGTCAACGTCTGCAAGCAGAAGGCACTGACCAACATGCGCGCCGCGAACAAGGAGGTGAAGACTGTGCTGGACGAGGCGCGCACCATGGGGCTGGACGAGGCCCTGGAGTATGTGACGGACGACGAGCTCGTGGAGGTGACGCCCCTCTCCATCCGCATGCGCAAGGACCCATCCGCATCCAACAAGCGCGGCAGGCGCTGAGCGGGCGGCCAGCGCGCGCGGCTGGGCTGCAACCAGGCCCGCTGCGCGCCGGCCGGGGGTGTGTGTCTGTGTGTTGCTGATCGATTGTGCGAGCGCTTCCCAGCGCGCTCGCCGTGTCGCATGTCGCATAGAGTGTTGGCGAGTCCCATTTGACCCGAGGTGGAGCGTTTCCTTTGTCCCGAGCGGCCTACTGCTGCAGCGCCGCCGCTGCCAATTTGGCGGCGGCGCAACCTCAATCTGCTTACCACACGTGCCTTTCATAGAGCGCAAACAGATCTGCATCCTTGGCTGCCGACCAGCCCCACTCTCGCACATGGCGGGCTTGCCCTGCAGCTGCTCGTCCTTGCCCTGTTTGTGCGGCTGTCACACCAAACTACTGCACAGTAACATGAGCAACCATGGTGACTTTCTGTCGATGGCTGAGTTTGTATGTCACAGGGGGCCTCGAGGGGTTGGAGGGGGGGCGGCAGGGGCTGCCTTGTATGCGGTATGTGGACGTGAAAGAATGCGACATCTGTGTGTTTGAGAAGAGAGGAGGCGTCTTGGGGCACATGATGGACAAGATTACGATAGTGCGAGTGGTGTGGCCCCAAAGAACTCCCTTGCGCGAATGGGCGTCACTTTGCCGGCACCTGGCTGGGGACCGCCCTGTCTGCTGGTGAGATGGTGAGGGCCGATCACGACTCCCGGGTAGTTGCACTATTATATGTATTTGAGTGTGTGTGCGTGTATTCTTTCCACTCGCGCCAGGTAGGCTTATCCAGGACACACAGCAAGAGCTTGAGCAGTCATTGCAAAGCCAGCAAGTGGCATGGCTGCTGCGTTCGTACATGCAGACTGCCTGCTCAACGGAGTTCGGCATGTAGTGTATCGTCACCGCCAGCAGCAGCTCACTGCTGCTGCTGGCAGCTAGCAGCAGCAGCAGCAGCAGCAGCAGCAGCAGCAGCAGCAGCAGCAGCAGCAGCAGCAGCAGCAGCAGCAGCAGCAGCAGCAGCAGCAGAGCAGCAGCAGCAGCAGCAGCAGCAGGTGAGCGCAGCCTCGCCTCACAAGCTGGCAGTGTATGACAGCTGATGATGTGTGGCTTGGGCTTTCACAATACACTTGACCTGCAGCAGCGGGCCAGGCTCTACACAGCGCCAAGAGCCGCATGGACAGCAGACATCACCTCGTCATCAGCTGTGAGCAGCAGCAGGGGGCATGATGCAGCAGTAGCAGCCATCGTTGCAGTGATAGGTCCGACAGACGTTGCAGGAAACAAGCTCAGCACACTGCCTTCTGAGCGCAACGCCGGTGAGATGATTGACACTGCATGCTGAAAAGCCCACATAATGCTGTGGCAAAGCAGTAGGCGAATCTGGATACCTCTTGCCAGTGCGTCAGCAAAAGGGACGCTGTCGTGGGCAGCTGACCCTTGCCAGCGGCGTTGGGCTGCCGTTGCGCCAAGACAAGGAGGTCATTGAAAGCGGCCGCCCTGTGCCCCTTTGCCGTCTGTGCCACCATTTCAGGATCTTTAATTGTACTGAACTGCCCGCGCAGGCATGGACATGAGTACCGCACGTGCCCGAGGGGTTTGATCAACACCGCCTGCCTTCCTGTGCATCTTTGGCACCAGCTCAAAGCTTGTTGTGAGGCACTTCTAGAATTACTGCGTCTAAATGAAGTTTTAGGCAAAGCCTGACAATCACTTGCAGTCGTGGCAGTCAACATCGTATAGCACTCTGCTTGCAAGAGCGCCGCAGTGCTTTCAAACTGTTTCGGCGATTGCAGGTGGCGCATCGGGGCGTGCATGACTGGGCGAGTGCTGGAGGTAGGGAGGTACATGTCAAATTTCTCTTCTCTGCTTGGCATTTGACCATGCAAAGGCCTACCTAACAGGCGTCAGAGCAAGCAACCGGGACAAGGAGCTTGTC